TTGTGTAGCAGGCCAAGTTTCGCCCGTTCTTTAATGCAACAAGGTGTGGACTCTTTTGAACTGAATGGAAACATAGAGCTGACTAGAAACTTCTTGTTCAAATTCTACTATGACAATGAAGAAAACAATGACAAAATTCTCTAGAACAGTGTTGACTAGATCCTCGTGGCAGAACCAATCACCGACTACGACATCATAATCGACGCTCTTCCGTCGGGTTCAATCAACGACCTCCACAAGATCACAAAGCAGATGGTGGTGGCCAGGTTTGGTAAGGAGTGCTCGCACGTGTATAGCACATGCAGGAGGGAGTTTTTGGATGAGAGCTTGTCCAGGTTAAGGTTACAGAAGCTGAGCATTGAGGAAGTGCAGAAAAAGCCTTGGCAAGATCTTGAGGACGAGATTGAGTGGTGGATCAAAGCCGCAAACATAGCAATTCGCATCTTCTTCACCAACGAGCGTCATATGTATGATTGTGTCTTTTTTGGCTTTTCCTCTGCAACAGATCTCTCCTTCATGGAGGTCTGCGATGGCTTTACGATTCAGTTACTAATTTGTGCTGATGCAATTGCTATTGGAATCCAATGGGTGGAGTGCGATGAACATTAATGGAGTTAGTAGTAGATTTGACGGAAGTTAGTTTTCCGTCCAATTGGAACCTTATTTGAGAATTGCGTGTAATTTGAGATCTTAATTGAGTGCAATTGAAGTTTGGGTCTAAAATTACAAAATTTGTGTAAGTTTGGGTCCTAATGTCATATTTTTGCCTTTATTCTATTTCCTTGTCGTCTTCCTCGTGTCTCATCCTAGACAAGACAACGTAGGACCCACAGACGCAATCACAGCTCCTTGTGTCTCCCACCCTAGAGAAATAAGGCATCTCTACAACGCTGCAAGCACCATCTTCAACGATCATCGCTCGCAATGGATCAAATCGACCTAAAAAGCGGTTTCAACCCACAAACCAAAACCTTCCACAGCCTAAGATCGCCCATTAATCTTCCCCCAGAAAACGCCCCATTAAACGCAGCTACCTATGCTCTCTCACTTCAATCGGCTTCTCCATGGTCTAACCCCATCGCTTTAATCGACTCCGCCACCGGCCGACGGGTTGCGTACTCGGAGTTCGCCAACCGAACCCAGTCACTAGCCTCTTATCTTCAGAGGGTAGTAAAGCTCTCCAAAGGAGACACCGCTTTTGTTCTCTGTGCAAACAGTATACGAGTTCCCATTCTTTACTTCTCGCTTCTTTCCATCGGCGTCGTTATCTCTCCGGCGAACCCAATCAGCTCTGGCTCGGAAATTTTCCGTCAAGTGGAGGTATCGAAGCCAGTGATTGCATTTTCCACCTCATCAACTGCCCACAAGCTCCCCAAGCTCCGTTACGAAACGATTATAATTGACTCGCCCGAGTTCGACTCAATGACTAGTACAAAACATGAGACGGACTCGGTGGAAGTGAGTCAGCACGATTTGGCAGCAATCTTGTACTCGTCCGGTACTACGGGCAGGACCAAAGGCGTGATGTTGACACACCGGAATCTAATAGGAGTAGTCAGCGGCTACCATGGGGTTAAAGAAGAGAGAAAATCGCCGGCGGTGGCACTGTACCCGGTACCGTATTCCCACGTGTTTGGGTTTTTCTACTGCTTGAAGTCTGTGGCCGTGAGCGAGACGGTAGTGGTGATAGGGAGGTTTGACGTGAGGAAGATGGTTAAGGCTGTGGAGGAGTTCAGAGTGACCCACTTGTCGGTGGTTCCGCCGGTTGTAGTAGCCATGACAAAAGGTGATATAGTGGACGGCTTTGACTTGAGGTCGCTGGAGCGGGTGGCTTCCGGTGCTGCTCCGCTGGGGAAGGAAGTTATCGCCGTGTTCAAACAGAGGTTCCCTGGCATTATGCTCTCCCAGGTTAGAAATAGAATATAGGAATTTTCTCAAATGCAGCGTGAGAAAATAATTTTTTTTTTTTTTTATCTTGATTTTACAAAGGGAGTCAATAATTTTTCATTATTTATCTCGTATTAGTTGAATGTCATATAATTTAAATTTAAAGTTTTTTATTTAAAAAAAATAATCATTATATTATTTA